CTCTTTCACAGCAAGCAGGGACAGGACTTTGCACTTCCCCTTGCTGAATTTCTTGGGGCTCCTGCCTTGACAGGGTACAGCCCTGGACTGATGCAGAGAGCAGCAGTAAGTCATGACTCTGGGCAGGAGGAGGGATTTGGGCGCTGCTGTAGCGAGGCTGCATGGGCAGTGCAAGCTGGTAGGAGCCCCTGGGATGTCGGGCACAGGGTGCACTGAGGAGGAGGACTTGTGAGGTTAAGTGGTGGAGCACGGGCTGACCATGGAGACCTCCTGGCTGGAAACATCTGCCCTGGGATCAACTGCAGAAATGCAAACTTATAAGGCTCAGGAAACACGTGAGAAATCAGTAGTCCAAGAAGCAGGAAAGGGGAGGAAAACAATGCAAGTGGGGAGAGCAACACCACCAGCATTAGGTAGTATCACTCAGACATCTGCAGTTTTCATGCTTTCATTTTCTTTTAATAAATGTTAAATAGATTTGGAAGGCTGAGAGCACAAGGGGCTGGTGTATACCCCAGCTGCAGCCTGGACTGATTTAGCTGTATCCTAATGCCCTCTCATCCTGTCACTGGATGGTGGACTCTCTTTCTGGGGGTCCAGGAAGGGTCCTCAGAGCTGCTGGCCCTCCCTTTGCAGGCTTGCTGGGGTGCTCCAGGTGAGCTTTCACTGACCAGCTGTAAGTGGAACACCGAGGCACAGCCTCCTCTGGGTTCTCCCAGGCCCCTTCTTGCTCCCCATGGGTAGGAATGGGGACAGACAGAATGGGACTTGCTGCTGGGACTGCATGAAAGCTGGCCTGGGAGAGCCCCTTGGGTGGCATCAGAGCCAGGGACCATAGAGGGGCTGTCTTCCCACTCTCAGAGATGCTCACTGACCCCAGGGCAGTGGCCACATGGCTGATGGCAGGGCTACTGCATTGCTGTGGGAGCTAGGGGCAGAAGGAGGTCCAGCTCTCAGGTCTGATAGTGCTGCAGGGCAATGGAGATTGGGGGCAGCTAAGTGCTCAGGAGATCATACATCAGACTTTCCGTGAGTTTGATACATGATCACAGCTCCCTGCAGGGAAGATCACTTGAGCAGAGTCCATTGCAGAGTGTGGGAAATGGATCTGTAGAGAGTTCTCAGGGCCTGACAGAAAGGCCACACAGTATGCATCCATATGCTAACTTCAAGACAAGAAATGCTGACTTAGAAATGCCACAGAATGGAAAGATATTGTTGAGAGAGAAATGGAGCTAAAAAAAATGTTTCAAAGGATGGCCTTGCAAATAAGACTAGGTACTTTGGAGAAATAGAAGTATGAAAGATGCACTGTAGTAAGACCCATGAGAGGTAGTTTCAGATTATTGGCTTTCAGGAATCTACAGCATGGTATTGCAAAAAGCTGATAGGCCAAGAAATGCTTATAGTATATTGTAATTAGGAAATAATCAGCTTCTGATTGTGATGGCATGAATTATAACATCTGTATTGTCTCACCCTTTTAAGAGGCTAAAAATTGAATAAAAGTTTTTAAAACACCTCTCAGTTTCCCCATCTCTGGATCAAGAAAAATATTGTCCAATAGCAGAGATGCCTGTTTGTGTAGCCAATTGTGCTGACTGGGGGACATCTGCACCAAAACTTCTCCTTTTTTTCTTCTCTATTCCCCTCACATCCCCACAGCAGAACAACATGGAGCAGTTTTGTCCATTATTTTTGGTTTAAATTTGGGGTTTTCTTAAATTTAAAAATGAAAGCTTTCATCAGTAAGTACAACTTCACACATATTGCAGCTCCAGTTGCTATACTCACCTTCAGCCACTTCATGTGGCTGTCCTCCCACTGATGGCCACAGTGTGCAGACTGGGAGCAGCAGGGTACCCACAGCTCCTCCTCTCAGGTGGAACATGCCCGAAGGTGCTCCGTGGGGTGGAATGACATGCTCCTCAAAGATGTCATCCCCCCACACCAAGACCAGGATGGAGGCCACCCTCCTCTCTCAGAAGGGGCACTCAGGCTGCTTCCAGCCCACGGCACAAGCAGAGCAGCCATGGCAGTGCATAGCTGGCCTCGTCCCAGCTGTCCAGGCAGATGGGACAGCAGTTGTCCAGCTCCATGGCCATGCTTGCCATGTGCTCTGGGGTCTGAAGACAGCTGGGCATGACAAACCACTTCACTGCCTTTCAGTGACACTGCAGCAGCAATTGTTGTGCTAGAAAAGTGAGGCCACAATTGTCGTCATGTCTAAGGATGGATGGAAGTAATACCCATGTCCCTCAGGAAGGAAACCTTCCCTGCTCCCCAGATGGGGTTTTCACCTCCCAGATAATTTCTGCTGCTGCAATGGTAACTCCTGAGTGCCCCAGCTGCCTCAACAGAGATCTATTCTGCAAATGACTCACAGGAGCACAGGCTGAAGGTCACTGATCTCACAAGGATGGCAAATCTACCTATGTCATGGCTCTCTGCAAGTAGGAGACTTGGTGCTGCAAATGCAGACAGGCAGAATCCAGAGGCTTTGCAATCCAGCTCCTTTTCTGCACTCCTCACATTTCTTAACCACATTTCAAAATCAGGATACAAGTGAATTCTCCAAAATGCCTGGGTTGCTTTGTTCCACAGACAGTCATTTAACCATGTCATCTGGTAAAAACGAGCATTTCTGACAACCAAATATACACCATGGAGTCTAGAAAACATAACTTATTGCTCTACTGAGCTGCAACCAGGTTCTTTGTTGGGATTGCTGCTCACTTTGTCATCAGTGCATGGGCCTGGAGGTGTGTTTCTCTCACAGGCTGTTTTTAAGGAAGGATGCAGCCAGAACAAGATTATAGTGCAAGTCTGTTGTGCTCCTCCTCTCCCATGTTCACATGAACCGTGCTGCCACTGCAAAAGGCTTTCCCAGAGAAGATAAAACCAGGCCCTTCTGGCTGAGATCCTATAGTAAGGATGCACGTCTGCTCCTCAGCTCTGGATGCTTTCATTGCTCCATTTGTAGGAGTCCCTGTCTCCTACAGAAGCAGATGGCATGAATACCAAAATCAGGATTTTCCAGCAAAGAGCTGGGAGGCAGACATTTTCTCTCACTGCCATTTCCCTGTGAAACCTGGGATGGACTGCTGCAGACTGGAGCTTATAGACAAGGTCCATGTCATAGCTCTGCCTAGTGGTTCAGACTGTGTTCTGATCTTGTGAAGTTATGTGACTTGTTTCTCTTCTTCTTGAGGCTGTCTCCTCTGGGTCACAATGGTACAACTCAGCTGGGCAACCTTCCTCTGTGAATGGGTTTGTCTGCAGGTGAGACAGCTCTTCTGCCACCTTTCACCATGCTTGCTGCTGAGTTCACCCAGTCAGCCCTCCTAGCACTGACTTGACTTCCAAACCAAACTTCCACAGCACCTCTCAGCAAACAGAGATAAAGGACAACTGGCCACACTCACACTTTTAACAGCTGAGCAAGAGGACGGAGAAAGGAGGATGAAGAGAGCCCTTGTAATGCAGGAAGTGTTGGGAAGTGCCTTGTCCCAGGAATGGTTTGGATGAGTTATGAGTGATTTGGGGAAGTCTAGCAAAGGTGTCAAGTGCTGGAGTGGATATAGTACATTGTTCAGAAGTTACATGACTAGGGTTTCACCATGCATATCAAGCTGCAGAGACCACTCAGTGGGTTCAGCTCTTCTCCAAGGAAGGTGGATGACACCAGGCCACTGTCCAACAGGACACACATGCACAGGCCAAGTGACCTTGCTGGTGAGGCTAGGGATGCTGGAGGATAGGAAAGTACTGCAGGATATGAATACTTGGCTGGTTAAGCAGGGAGCTGAGTTGGGGTGATCCTAATTCTGCTGGATGCTGGGATGAGGAAGCCAAGGAAGTGAGCTATGGAGGGGTCCACTCCTTTTGCAGGTGCAAAAGGAGGCACAGGGTGTCAGGAGGGTCTGCATGAACTAGGGATCTCACAGCTCCCCACTCTTGCCGGCAGCAGATGGGTGGGTTGAGGTAACAATGGAGCTGAGACTTGAGCTCTGCATGCTCCAATGACACATGGAAAGAGCTGCACAAGAAAAGCAAGGTGCAAGAAGTTCCAGCTCTGTCAGACAGGCCTGCAGTAGCCTCGCATCCCCGAGGGCTCAGGCTCTGATTCTTCAGCCCCTGCTCTGTACTTTCCCCACACAAGAGGAGGAGAAGACTAGAGGTGTAGGGCATCATACCAGAGCTCAGCAGAGAGGGTGATTTCCCTCCTTGGTGCTGGGGTCTGCAGCACTGGGGCTGCTGAGGGAGCAATGCCAGCCTCTGGCCCTGCAGACAGGGACTCAGCCAAGATGGGGTCTGTGCTCAAGTGCATCCTTGAGGCCTGCAGATCTTCTTATCTGTCCTATTTCCCATCTCTACATTTCTTTCTCCGTATCAGTGTCCACCTCCCGCTTTCCCGTTGTGCTTCCTTCATGCTCTCCATCCCTCTTCTCTGTTTTTCCACTCTGCCCCTCTCTTTCCCAATTTCTCTTCCTCCTACTGCCAGGCTTTTTTCTGTATCCTTTTTGTGTATTTTCTGAGCCCTTAATTTCCCTGTCCCCAGACTTCTTTCCTTATTACCCTCTCCCCCTCCTCCTTCTCTCCCTCCTCCCTTCCTTGTCCCTGTTTCAGTCTCTCTATCCCCACTTCTTGTCTCACCATCTCTTTTCCTCTCTTCCACTCTCGGACACTCCTCGCTCCCAACCCTTCTCCCTCTCTCCCTCTCCTTGCGGGGCAGCGTCCCTGCACCATCCCTGCCTCTCCCCGTGCCCGGCCCACGGCCGCCGTCCCCTCAGAGCCGCCCTCAGGAGAGCTCCGTGCGCGGCCGCGGAGCCGCGGCTCCATGGCCGCCCTCTCCCCTCCGCGCTGCCCGCTGCGGCGGGGCCTCCGCCTTCCCAAGCTGTTCCCGGGGTGATCCACACCGCTGGCCCTCGGATCATCCGCATCGCTGGCCCTCGGATCATCCGCACCGCTGGCCCTCGGATCATCCGCACCGCTGGCCCTCGGATCATCCGCACCGCTGCCTCTCCCCGGTGTCCGCCCGCAGCCCGAGCTGGGCCTCAGGCGGGGAGCGCGGCGCCTGAGGCGGCTCCGCGAGGAGACGGCGCTGCTGAGGCGCTGAGGGACGGCGGCGGGATGTCCTCTGCTGGCAGGAGCCGGGGCAGCGGCAGAGAGGTTACCCCAAGCATTTCCCTGCAGGATAGGAATACTTGGCTGGTTAAGCTGTTGGGGTGATCCTAATTCTGCTAATTGAGACCCTAATCCTAATTGAGCCAGCCCATCGCCACGCGTGCGCTCAGTTTGGCTCCCCACACATCCTCGGGGTTCTTGGTTATGGTTGGGTACACACAAACGGGCCCTCAGGAAAGTCCGAACCAGCCCCACGCCTCAAACACCCAGAGCTCTGCTTGAGGTCCCCAAGAATCGGCCTCGCGTAATCACAGAAACACAAAATGTTCCGAGTTAGAAGGGACTCACGAGGATCATCCAGCCGAGCTCCTGGCCCTGCACAGCACCATCCCGGAGAATCACACCAGGTGCCTGAGAGCGTTGTTCGAACGCTGCTCGAACTCTGTCAGACTTGGTGCTGTGACTGCTCCCCTGGAAAGCCTGTTCAGTGCCCAGCCACCCTCTGGGTGAAGAACCATCTCCTGATACCCAACCTAAACATCCCCTGACACAAGTTCACTCTATTCCCTCAGATCCTGTCCCTGCTCACCAGGGAGATCAGTGCTGCAGTGGGTCTAATGATAGAAAAAGACCCTAGGAGGGATAGAATAAATGCCCAGGTCCTTCATGAAGGAATTTTCCTTATCAGATCACCTCTGTTCCTGTGAGAGTGACTCCTGAGTGCCCCAGTCAGAAAAAAAATCCCCTGATGTCTCTGGGGCCAAGCACTGAGAGCAATACTGCTAAACAACAACAGCTTTGCATGTCATTCCTTTCTGGCTCTGGTAGCAATGCTGTTGCCTTAATAAAAGCCTTTGGGAAGTTCTCTCTAGCCCAAAGGCAACTACAAAAAGATCTTGAAATTACTGTGGAGTGACAAAGTGATAGACTTAGGCAAGGGATACTTCAGCTTTTTGATTTTTGGTTGTGTAACTTTCTCAGTTCCATGTTCTTTTCTTTCTCCTCCAAGCAGGGGAGGAGCATTCATCTGGGGGGAGGCCAGGCCGTGAACTCCCTGAGCTGCATCATCATCCCCCATTCCTGCCACATCTGGAGGATCAACAGGATTGTGCTGGACATGGACAATCTGTGTTCCTGGTGCAAACAGTAAGTACCAAGTCAGAACAGGTAGGAAGTGCTATCTTCCCTCACTGGGGGCAAGAATGGGAGTGAAGACTGCTGGACAAGGAAGGGAGGCAAGAGACAAAGCAGTGTGCGTACAAGCGCTGCTCATCCATATGGAGGGGCTGCTGCTTTAGCCACAGGAGCTTTGACCATTGTGACAGCATGGGGGAACCCAGGGAAGTGGTGGTGACAGCAAGCAGAGGTACAGCTTCAAGCTGACTCCCCAGCTCCCTTGCAGCCTTGCTGGTGGGACTAGTCAGGAAGCTGAGGACACCTTCAAGACACTTGCAAGCTCCTGAATCCACATGTCTTTGGCAAGCAGAGCCCCTCTGCCCAGCTGAAGACTCTGCCCTGTTGCAGGGTGGACAGCCCACTCATCCCAGATGACACTGGTAGAATGAAGCCTGCCTCTGTCAATACTCCAGCTGACCTAAAAAGCCTGAGTGCTTTTGTCTTTTCCGTGCTGACACTGCCCATCAATGCTTTCTCAGCCCCTCCATGTCTCCCCTTTGCATACTGCATGCTTCCAGAAACAGCAGCCCCTGAGTGGGACCTCCCCATTTTCACTCACAACTTGCTTGGCAAGGAAAAAGTGGGTTAAGAAGAAGTTGCATGATAGGTACAGCAGCATCTCTTATAGTTTCTTTCCCTCTGTGTTTCCTCAGTGCCAAACAAGGCTCAATGAAGGCTGTCAGGTTTCTCAAACTTTTCTGAGAATCTGACCTGCAGGAGCCTGCAAAGGGAAGTGGCATGGAGACCTGTGGAGGAAGGCTTGGAGAAACACAGCAACCCAAATTAGGACTGATATCTGAACATATGTGTATTTATCTATCAGGCGGGGACTTGCAGATCTATTATGTAACAACACAGTTCTTGCTAATGATTCATTCTTGCATGCTGTTCATCATATCTTCATTTCCCACCCTGTGAGTATGTAGCTCAGTGCTCAGTAAGCTATGAGTACCATGTAGCAGATGCCACCCCCTTAGCATTGCTGCCTGTGGTCCTGAGTGGCTGCAAGTCATGGAGGGAATGGTGTTAAGGCACAAAAGCACTTTGAGGAGAGAGGTTAAAGTAAGCTTGTCTTATGTCTGCTGATTTTCCTCCATTGTGCCTGGCTTCTTTTATGCTGTCTCTTACCCAAGATGTGATGGATGTCTCCCCTGTTTCTCGTACTGTTTATATTGGTTTGCTTTTGCTGCTGTGTATTTAGAATGTTTCTTATTTCCAGTCTCTTGTGCTCATTTAGTAGCAACCTTTAGCTACTTGAAAACCTTTATTCTGAATCTGAATCCTACTTTGCCCCTTTGCTGATTACATGGTTCACATACTTTGCCATGAAGTGTGTCTAGCTGTGCCATCAGAGTATTACAAAGTTCTTGGACACTGTCTGCAGAACAGTAGTTGAGTTTACTTACACAAACATTTAAGAAAATATGATAGTTCTTATGTCCCGATCAGTATCTTTATAATTCATGGGTAACTAAAGCTTTTGCTTAGGTTACACAACTCCCTGATTGTGTTAGGGATCTCTAAAAGGCAGGGTGCTATGGAGGGTGTGAGACAAGAGGACTCTTGCAGAATGCAACTGGACCCGAAAGTGCCCAACCCTGACCTACCTAAAGATATTCTGCAGTTTCATACCTGATGGTGGAACACATGCAACTAGATATCCTCCACAGAACACGTGGCATGTTGTGGCAATGTGTTCTGTTACAAGTTTATAATGGTTTGTTCTGTTACTCCTATGTAGAAGGTTTGTCCCTGAGTCATATCCTTCCACCTCCCTTATCCATCTTCCCAAAAACCTGCCCTTTTTCCCAGGTCTTTCCATGCCCATCATGGTAACCCTGCCCTCCTCCCTTGTCTATTGTTGCCCCACCTTTGTTCCCAGAAATTTCCATGTCATTTGTATATCCCCTGAGACCTCACTGGTGAATTCAAACTGTTCTCCTCTCCTGTTACTCCCTATTCCTCTAGACATTGTATTCCTCACCTTGTACTCCTCCCCTGGCTCCCTGCAATTGGTTAAAGTCCATACCCTCCCCTGGTTACCTCCCCCCTTTATAAGTTATTGTACTTTGTTGTTCTTGATTCTTTGCCTCTGACTCCTCTGGAGAGTAAACATCTTGGGAACTCATGCAAGGGACTCCTCACATTTCTTTATCTTGATCCTTGATGCCTTTTAACATCATTAACCGCAGAGAGCAGCCCAGCTGTGCTCATAGTGCTACCCAGACTGACCTCAGGATGGATAGGGAGTGGTCCAGGAGAGGGCTAGCCTGGGAATATCTCCAATGGAACCACATCATCTGTTTGAAGCGCTTGACATCATTTGGAAACTGTAAACAGTGATCCTGTAAGTCTCACTCCCATGGTGCTTGAGTTACTAGAGGGGATTTGAGATACACACCATCCACTTGTTTTCTTCATCTGAATGTGGACTTACAGCTGTGCTGCTGGAAGGACATTTTCAGTCCAGCTTCCTTCTCACTTCAGGACCATCCCCAGCAATAGTTCTGTCACCATGCCTTTGCCATTGCCAAAACACTTGTTACTTGACAGTGACTGAGACAGCCTATCTACAGCATCTATGCAGTATACCTATAGAATAGTTTCTTGTTGCCCTTGTTGTCCCTGGCCAAATTTGTGTCTATGAGGACTTGTCCTTGTTTGACACTGGCCAAGTGCCAGGCACCCTTGGAAGCTGCTCCCTCACCCTCCTCTGCTACAGCTGGACAGAGGACAGAAATGAGTTCATGAGCTAAGGACCAGGAGAAAACACTTCAAGAGCACAATAGGCTTGGCTTAGAAGTACAAAGTGAATTTATTACTAAAAAAATCAGAGGATAATGAGAAGTGATATAAGCCCTTAAAAACACCTTTTCTTCTCCCAGCCACTCCCTCCTGCCCCCTGAAGGCACAGGAACACAGGGCATGGGTTTTTGGTCAGTTCATCACCCAAGGTTTTCCTCCGCTGCTCAGGGAGAGGAGCCCTTCCCCTGTGACACCGTGGGGTCCCTTCCCACGGGACACAGTTCTCTGTGAACTTCTCCAGCGTGGCTCCAAATCTCAGGAGCAGCAGTCCTCCCAAAGCAGCTGCAATGCAAGTCCCTCCCAGGGGCACACAGTCCTCCCAAAACTGCTGTGGCGTGGGTCACTCTTCCACAGGTGCAGCCCTCCAAGGACAGGCTGCTCCAGCCTGGCAGCACGGCCCCTCTGTCCATCAGGTCTCCCACAGGATCACAGCTCCTCCAGGCATCCACCCGCTCCAGCACCGGCATCTCCCCCACGGGCTGCGGGTGGATCTCCCCTGGACCCCCGTGGGCTGCAGGGGCAGAGCTGCTTCTCCATCGTCTCACTACAGCCTGCAAGGGAATCTCAGCTCCATGCCTGGAGCAGCTCCTCCCCCTCCTTCTTCACTGACCTTGGTGCCTCATGTGTTCTCACCTCCTCCTCTTCTCTGGCTGGAATTAAAGCTGCACCCCTACTTTTGTTTTAATGGCTTCTTAAAGATGTTGTCACAGAAGCATTACCATCATCTCTAGCTGGCTCAGCCTTGGCCAGCAGTGTGTCCATCTTCAGAGCCATCAGGGATTGGCTCTGCTGGACATGGTGGAAGTTTCCAGCAGTTTTTCACAGAAGCCACCTCTGTGGTCTCCCCTGCTACTAGAAACCAGGCCAAAAACTAGCTTTCCTTAATTGATCCCTGGCAGTTTGGACAATCTCTCTGCACTTCTCCCAGGTTACCTGTGCTTGCCTCCATCCTCTGTGTGTTTCTTTGTTGTGTTTGAGTTTGTCCAGGGGTTCCTGGCACCTGTGTAAGCCTCCTGGTGTTTTTTGCCTGACTTCCTCCTTGCTGGGGTGCATTGCTGCCGAGCTTGAAGGTGGTGATCCTTGAGTATCAACCAGCTTTCCTGGGCTTCTCTTCCCTCCAGGACTTTATCCCTAAACACCCCTGAAGAAGCCAAGATCAGCTGTCCTGAAGTCTAGGTTAGTGAGCTTGCTGTGTGCCTTTGTCACTGCCCAGAAGATCTCAAACTCCACCATTTCGTGATCACTGCATCCCAGACTGTCCCTGGGCTTTACATTCCCCACCAGCCTCTCCTTCTTGGTGAGGACAAGATCCTGCATAGCATGTCTCCTTCTTCTCTATCACTGGGAGAAGGAAATTATCACTGTCTTCCAGAAACCTCCCAGATTGCTTATGTCCCGCTGTATTCTCCCTTGAACTGCTGTCAGGGTGGTTCAAGTTCCCCCTGTGGACCTGGCTTGTGAACGTGAGGCTGCTCCTATCTGTCTGTAGAGGGACTCATCTGTTCAATGTTCCTGCTCAGGCAGCCTGAGTGGGCTCCTGCTATAATGTCACCTGTCCCTGCCCTGCCTTTAATCCAGATCCATGGGCTCTCAGTTGATTCCTCATCCATGTTCTTGGCACAGAGAGCAACACTCTTTCCTCGTCTCTCGTGCCTGGTTTTTCAAGAGTGTCTGTAACCTCTCATTTCAACACTGGAGCCATAGGAGCCGTTCCACCATATCTCTGTGGTGCCTGTTAGCCCATCTCTAACTGCTCTAACTCCTCTTGTTAATTCCCTGTGATGTGTGTGTTGGCACAAAGGCATTTAAGTTCAGTCCCTGATGAAGCTGATTACTGGCTGGAGTGTCAGGAATTCCTTCATGATTTTTCATGTGTTCTCCCCCTGACCCACTCCAAGCTCTGGCCCTCTCTTGCTGACTTGCCATCAGACTGGAAGGACCAAGAGGGACTGAGGTTCCCGTCTCCTGACACATTGAATTTAAATCTCTCTTCACCAGCCTGGCAAGCCTATGGCTGAAGGTGATCTTCCCCTTCTCTGACAGATGGAACCCCATGAGCCCTCAGCACATCCAGTTTGTCAAGGTGATTCATGTGGCCCAAGAAGCCAAAACCCTGACTGTGGTACCAGCCTGTAGCCATTTGTTGATCTACCCAAACTAAATGGCCCTTTCAAACACCTTCCCTTTGAGGGGGGAATTAATGAAACAGCAGTGTGTAATAGTCAGTAGACTGTACAAGGCTCAGCAGCCTATCAGTGACATCCCTGTTATGACTCCCCAGTAAGCACCACCTCTCTAGAGTGTGTGTCAGATCTCTCAGTACCTCTGAACCTCTCATAAATCACCTACTGCTATCACCCGTTGCCTTTTCTTAGTTGTGCTGGCTGTGATACGGGACCAGAGGGGGCTGCCTTACTGGTTGTTGTGCAGGGAGCAGACGGGCCCGCCTTACTCAGCCCCAGTGCCCCTTGTGATGTGACAGGTCCTTTCCTCTTCAGTCCACAAGGAAACGAAGTGGTTATGCAAGGGCACTTCAGGCGTCAGGGAAGTCTCTTCCCCCTGTGGTCCTTGCCATTGCAAGCTTCCATTCTTCTGCATTATTATCTCCCCCCCTTCTGTATGTGCTAGTGAGGGAGTTTTTCTGGCTGTTTGGTCATTGGCTTATGGAGCACTGCAGGCTGAGCTTGGGACTAGCTATCTAACACCTTCTTAGTCTCCCTGATGTTATGATGCAGCCTTCTCACTGCCTTCTGCAGCTCAGCCACCTGCTGGAGGGCGTGCACCACCGGAGCACATATTCTGCATGCAGGTCTGCTGCCTGTCCATGCCCCAGGAGAAACATGTCTCATCCTGCAGTCTGAGATCTGTCCTATCTATCCTGGTGGTGTCTGCTGTCGCCGCCCAGACAGAGCTGCTGTAGGGAGAGGCTGCACTGCAGACCTCAGACTGCAGCCACAGCAAGATTGTGTATCCCTGCCTGTTTTGGAGGACTTCTCTCTGATCCACTGCTATGATGGGAACAGTGACATGACTGTCCCATCGCCTCTCCTTTGACTTCACAAAAACAGAAGGGCTCTAGTGAGGCCCAACCACAGCCAGGATGGTTCACCTTTGCAGGAGGCTTTCTGCAGTTTTCCAGTGACACCTACAGACCTAATTGTAAAGGTCTCTGCTGGGGTCATGGAAGGCCACTCCTTTGGCAGGGAAAGGACATGGGTCCCCAGCATACCTGGCCCATGCCTTAACATCAAAATCCCTCTGTTCTGCTAAGATTTCAGCTTCACATTTTCCATAGGTTTTCCAAGGAAAGGCCCATCTATAAGTGAGCTGTGAGACAGATCAGTTACACAGTCTTGAAGAGAAGAGTACACAGCAGAAAGTCTCTCAGCTGTGGCGGGAATTACAGACTAGCATGGACACTCAAGCCTCTTTTGTTATAAATACAAAATGTGAAGCTAGCTGAGCCAGCAGGAGGAGCTGGTGCTGCAAAGCAGGTACCTGTGTGAGCTGTCTGGCCTCTCTCCTCGGCAGTGCCATGGACACCTTTGTGGCACACTGTCAGGCTATGGCAAACCATAGAGTGAGGGAGAACTACTCATTAGGAATCCAAAAAGAGCCTCACACACCTCTATGTCTTATGCTTTAGCAGACAGAATAGTCTCCCCTTTTTATCATCTCTTTTATGTGCGTGGATGAAGATAATAGTGTATCAGCTGGTGCAAGGCAGACTCTCTCACCAGGGCAACAGCAGGTTTTGGAGACAGTTGCTAGCAGTATTTCCTTACTCCCTTAACCTATCCTTCAAAATAGAGCTAACCATACTTTAACCTACAGCAAATTTCACATGGTCATTTTAAGAATCTGAGATTAATCTGAGATTATATTGTCAGTTACACATTGTCAGTGTAAGCACATCTAGCAAACACAGGGGCCTTTGCTTTGTGCTGCACAGCAGATCCAACACACTCTTGCATCCATAAAATACTTTTTAAAAGACGATAGCGAGAAGAGGTTAATCCTTTCTTAAACCACCCTTTATTTAAAAAAAAACCATAAACATTTGTAAATATATAAAATTATAAAGTATCAAGTGCTTCTTGCTTCCCAGTACAGTAGAATTCAGAAATGGCAAGTAAATTTTGCGTTAATCTGTTTGGTGTGTTAGCTCCAGGGCTGCAGAACTGACCACCTAGTTTTGCAAAAGACAGCCATCTCATTCCTCTGACAGGTTTAAACAATCTTGTTTCACTTTGGCTTCAGACTTCTTTCCTACTCCTTTTGACAAACATCAGTGCTTACTAGTGAGAGAACAGCTGGAGCTGTAGGAACAAGCAGGCACCTTAGAAGGATGCAACCATGTGTTTTACAAAGGGAAAGCCTTCCAGTTGCTAATGGGGAAGAGAATTCAGACACTGAGAGAGCTCCTTTTACAGTGCTCCTCAGGCACAGTGTGTTCTTGGCATTGGGATTGTCGTCTAGCTGGACTGGATGAAGTTAGTCTCAGGTTCAGTCTGCATCAAGGTCCCTTAATCAGCAAGTACTCAGATTCCCTTGAAATACATATAACATGAAGCATCA